GTAATAATAATAATAATAAATTTTATTTTTTTATTTTTTAGTTCCCATAATATTGTCGATAATGTTTATTGTATACCGCTATCAAATTGTTAATAATAATAATAATAATAATAGTAATAATAATAGAAATAATAATAGTAATAATAATAGAAATAATAATAGTAATAATAATAATAATACTAATAATAATAATAATAATAATAGTAATAATAATAGTAATAATAATAGTAATAATAATAGTAATAATAATAATAGTAATATTAAAACAAATGATAAAAATATTAGAAATAGTGATAATAATACTAATTATAACATCAAATTACCTAATAATATACCAAACACTAGTAATGCTAACAACCCTTTTAACACGTGTCGACCATTGATCCGACTGTCCGTACTGGCACTGGTAGCTATGACACTGGCCTGTATTAATTCACTGGAATCGGTATATTTTAATTTTGCCAGTACCWATTACCAGTATATACCCGCACACATACCCGCACACAATGCAGCCATTATATCATCGGCACTAAGCATATCATATACCTGTAGTCAAGTACTAAACTTTTTCATAGCCATCAAAGTGCCGACAAAATATATGATTGCCTATCACTATGTGTTTACATTGATAGCTATGGTGGCATTGGTATGCAATAATAAGTTATTAATAACTTTATATTCAATATTTATATATATTTTATAAATATTAATTTTTAATAGAAATAATTATAAGTTAGTATTTTATAGCATTTTATAAATTATTAATATATATATATAAATATTTTTTTACTTCCAATTATTKGTTAGATACTAAATAATAATAATATATAATAATAAATATTAATTAATTAATAATAATTATTATTATAATAATTATATATTATAATAAATATTAATTAATTAATAATAATAATTATTATAATAATTATATATTATAATAAATATTAATTAATTAATTAATAATAATATATTTCAGGCGTTTGCCGGCCACTCGATAATAGCCGTCTGGATACTGGCCATTGCCGTCGGCTACGGGTTTTCCATACTATTCCCGGGTATATTGGGTGCTGCCGGTTCCCGATTGGACATTGGACATCAAAATAATCGGGGTACATTGATTTTCTTTTTTGTCGGTGCCTTCAATTTCCTGCCGCCCCTCATATTGGGACCCTATTTGGAGTCAATGCCCCTAATATTTGTCGTATTGCCACTGGGTTATCTATGTTTAGCCATTGGATGTACAATTGGTTTTGTACTATTATTGAACAAATATGTATATAATAATAATAATAATAATTATTATAATACTTATACAATAACTACTATTACTACTACTATTACTAGTAGTAGTAGTAGTAGTAGTAGTAGTAGTAATACTATTGATAATAATAATATTAATAATAATAATAACAAAAATTTTAGTAATATTAGTAATTTTAATAATAATAATAATAATACTATTAATACAATTAATGATGATAATAATTTTTGAATAACAATTTAGTACAAAAAAAATCTAAAAAAAATTATTTTGATAATTTAAAAACTTGTTTTTTGTAAAACTTATTATTATTATTTAATTTAATATATATTAAAAAAAATTAATTAAAAATTTATATAAATAAATCTAATTTATTATTATTATTATTATTATTACAGTGTAAAATACTAATAAATTATTTTTTTTATTATTTTGTTTTAAAACTAACTAGCTAAATTTTTTCTAGCAGTAATACTTTTAATATAGTTAATATTAAATATATATACCTGTATATTATTTTTTTTATTTATATTTTATATTAATATTTATGTAGAAATAATTACTTGACAAAATAACTTGAATAAATTTTTATTATAAAAATAAGACTAAAAAACTAATTATAAATAAAATAAATATTATCATTATTATTATTATTAGCAATTGAGCAAGCAATAATTTTTTTATATAATTTTTATTAGTTTGTAATATTTTTATTGAAAATATATATATATATATCTATATATATTAAACAACATCAAAAAAATATATAAATACATGTAAAATTTTTATAAAAATTTTTATAATAGTTATTAATAATATAAAAATTATGTCACAATTAATTAATAAATATTTACGCAAAAAATTAACAAGTAACTTTATCTATACAACGATACTATTGGTTACACATTTAATAAATGTTAGTATTTAGTAGACAATATCAAATATATAATAATTAATTTCAATAAAGTTAATTAATTAATTAATTAATTAATAGGGTATCTGTGCATCATTAAATGGTCCAGCTTATGTAGATATGAAACACCTATTGGGACAGTCATCATTACAATTGATAGCCCTGTATTCAACTATACAAGCTGCCGGTAACATCACTGGTACATTATGTATGTTAAATTTATTTTTCTAATAAATTAGCTTGCTAAATTTATATAAAAAAAATAAACTACAATCTAATATCATATTTACCCACACAAACACACACACACCTACCCACTCGTCCCCCTTTAATATCATACTCACCCACACACACACACCCGCCTGCCCCCTCTAATATCATACTCACCCACACACACGCACCCTTCTGTCCCCTCTAATATCATACACACACACCCTCCTGCCTCTCTAATATCATACACACACCCGCCTGCCCCCTCTAATATCATCCTCACCCACACACACAAACACATCTACCCATTCATTCCACTCTAATATCATACTTACTGACACACACACACACAAACATATTTACCGCCACTCATCCACCCTATCATAAATAGTCGGGTTTGTCTATAAATATATGAACCGTCAGCTGGTTATTGTCCTAATGGTAACCGTGCTATCGTTGGCCACAATATCCATACCACACTCTACGCAATTGTGGCACTACTATCTGTGCGCCTATCTGGCCGGCCTGGGTGCAGGTGCCTGGTCCAGTACATGTTGTGTTTGGCTACTTGAATTGTGCCGTAGTAGTGCTGATACCGGTGCTAGTAGTACTAGTAGTAGTAGCCAGCGTATCATGTTTTTATATGAACTAGTATTTAGTGTGGGCACCAGTATCGGGCCGCTTATTGATGCACCCTATTTGACTGGCAATACCGGTTCAGCTGATACTACTAGTTTTAACACTACTACTACTACCATCACCGACAATGGTATGACTAACATAACTACTACTACTACTACTACTAATACTACTGATCCACTACTACTGTACAGTATAGTCAGTATAGACGACTTTGAGCGCCGATCCCGTCTAGTCATACCGTTTGCTATTATTGGATCAGTTATGCTATTAAGTAAGTTAAGTACTAACTTATATATATATATATATATATACTGGTATATATATAATTATATATTACCTTATCATCCTCGCCCTCCTCCAACCCCCACCCCCACTAAACAGGTCCCATAACATTGTTGACAATGTATTTTGTACGACCATATCATAAACTTCGAGTGGACATACCTACTAATAAACGTAATCAACCAATAGATGATGATGATGCTAAAATTGATGATGATGCTACTAATAAATTAAATGATAATGATGAAACTAATAATAATAATACAAAAAATGTGCATGCACCATCATCATCATCTAATAAGGTAGTAGTAGTAGCACCCACCATCAAATGGACAGTTATCTTACTAACAGCCATACTGTTGGCATTGGTCGGCTCAATATTGGGTATATGTGTCGATTTTTCGGCATCCTATTACCAATACATACCATCCCTTAGGGCTACGGCACCGATGGCTGCCTCACTGAGCTCAGCCCTGGCACTATCGTACACATGTAGTCAACTAATTAATTTCATAGTATCATCTATGAAACTGTCCAATACATGGACAATGATTATCTATCACTATCTGATTACTATTGTAGTATTGATAGCACTGGTAGTCGTACAGTACTTGTCGGCTGAGGTACCAGTTATAGCCTACTGGGTCCTAACCGTTGCGTTGGGTTACGGTATTTCTATATTATATCCGGGGTTATTGGCCCTAATGGGCGATCGATTGAAAATGTCCAACCAAATAGGGACAGTCCTATTTTTGGTTTGCGGTCTATTTAGTTTTCTACCGGCACTCATACTCGGCTCATGGATGGAAACATTTCCAACTATCTATGTACTGGTGCTCGGAGTTTATATCATAGGCAGTATTGGATGTTTGCTAACAATTAATTTATTGTTAAAATATTGCTGATTATTATAATTAATTTATTATAAAATTTATTTATTTATTAATTAATTAATAATTGGTATTAACTAAAAATATAATAAATTTGATGTTTAACTATATTTATAAAAAATTTAATAATTAAAATTATAAAAAAAAATTTAAATTCAATATAATGTAAATTAGTTTATAATTAGTAATTGTTTGTAAAAATTAAAGTTATTTTTTTATTAATTGAAATTTACTTTTTTCAAAAATAACTTATATTTAATTTTTTTTAAAAGACAAAATAAACATAAATTAATGTAAATATTTAATAATCATTACAGTATACAGTATATTGATTATTATTATTATTATTAAAATTATTATTTATATAAATAATCAATTTATTATATTTTGAATTATTATAATTAAAGTTTATATATAATATTATTATTTTTAAAAAATTAAAATTTATAATAAAAATTAATTGATTGATATTATTATTATTTGAGATTTATTTTTGAAAAAATAAATTATATTTAATTTTTTTAAATAACATAAATAAATGTAATCTTTTTTCTTCTATACATTACATTATATAATAATTATTATTATTTTTTAAAAAAATAACATCCATTTATTATATTTTTAAATTATATTTCAAGTTTATATATAATATGTTTTTTTTAATTATTATTATTTTTGAAATATTATTAATAATTTGATTTATTTTGATAAAACTTTTATATATAAATATTAAAAAATTATGTGTAAGATATGTATATTGATATCATATATAATTAATTAATTAATTAATTAATAATAAACTTTAGACAAGACTCAATAGGAAGTTCATGATAGCCAATGCCGACAGTCCTAACCACATACCCAATAGTCCACCAAAATTACCGGCAAACTGGGTAAACGACATTTCCGGTATGTGTTGGGTTATCTGATCGGGCAATTGATTGTGGGCTATCTCTACCCGGGTATGTCGGGACCAGGTAGATAAATCGGGCATTCTATACACACAACAACAAAAAAATGATAATTAAAATATTTTTATTTATTTAATAATTAATTAATATAGAATTTTTATTTATTAATTTCCAACAATTTAATTATCTAATTTTTTTTTTATATTTATATATTTATATTTTTAGTTATAATATTTTATATTATAAAATTTTTTTAACTTAATTAACAACAACTACAATAACAACAATAAAATATATTTTTTCAAAATCTAATATTTAGTTACTTATTATTTATATTAATAGTAATAATACATTAAATTTAGTAACAAAAAAAACTAAATTATTAATAACAAAAATAATAATAATTAATATTAATTATAAACTTTTTATTTTTATTTTTTAACTCATATCCTATTAATATATTAGTCTAGAAGTTAACCAACAACAACAACAACAATAAACCTAACCCTGAACCCCCCATATACTGACCTAAACTAATAAAAATTTTACACCAAAAAAAATTAAAAAAAATTAAAAAAATACTTATTAGTTGTTTTAATATCCAAATTATAGAAATGATTGACACAATCCATAGGACAGGTATTGTTTTCGCATTCACTGGTAACACGTGGCAGCTCTTGCCTCAAGCACCGGTAGGTGAGCTGGACATCAGCATCTTTATCGGTGACGTTGGTAGTAGTAGTTTTGGTGGACAGTAACTTAGGACATACCTGTCCTAAACAGTCGCCATGTTTGACGCCTCCTCCGACACCCGGATCATAGCAGCCGTCAAATGCTAGCGATCGACGCCATAGACTATCGGATCGGTAGAAACATTCCGTACAGTTGTTGTCCGACACTTGAGGACCGATACTTCTAACACCAGTTCCCTCATTATTAGTATTATTATACACACATAGACTACCGCATCGTTGTCTTAGTTGCTGATAGACACAGGCATTGACACAATCAGTTCGGACACTATAGTCGTGTGTCGCTTCTCCTATATTATCGCCCGTTTTTATATCATAGTTACGGCATCGGGTATCGTACGGTTCGGGCAATAGCCATGTTTTCCATCGATTGTATGTCATTTCATACCATTTACCGGGTTTTAGTCTAATAAAATTATTTACCGACATTTGCTGGGGTATGGCCAGTGGCGAGTGCATGGCCAGTGATAGTAGTAATGGTGGCGATTGTGATGCTGATGATGATGATCTACCGGTGCCGCCATCATTACCACCATTGCTATTGTATAGTGTAGGCGGAAACCAGTTTTCATGGTGATAGATATCCAATTGTAAATGTTTTAAATCTATAAAATATATATAGATATATAGATATATATACTGTATATCAATAGATATTATACAATAGATACAAGTATTTAATGTATAGATAATAGAAAAAATATTAAATACAAATATTACTATTAATTAATTAATTAATTATTTAATCATAACAACTATGTTTTTAGATTTAATTTAACCAAATAAAAAAATCTAAAATTAAGCATGCACATACTGTGATACTTTATGTAAAATTAGATATTTAAAAAAATATATATATTTAATTAAATTTTAATATATTAGTTTATATATAATAACATGTTAATAATAGCATGTACATTGTTTAGATAATTATTTCAAATTATTAATATAAGTAAATACAATAATAGTTTATTATTAGGTTTTTTCCAAAATAAATATTTAAATATCAAATTTATATCATTACTAGACTATGATATTATTATTATTACTGTATTTTAATTTATTTATTAGTGTCTCAACAATAATAATAATAATAATAATAGGAGTCATTAATTTGTTTAGTTTTTTAAGTTATTTTTTAAAAAAAAGAAAAATATAGAAATATTTAAAAATTTATTATGTAATGTAATGATGATTATAAATTTAAATATGCATATTATTATTATTATTATTATTAGCACCCACCTACTTGATACTGGCGCCAAACTGGGCGCAGATGACTGAAAAATGTAAAACATTTGAAGCCTTGCCTGTGGTCATCATCCGGTAATACTATCGAYTCAATAGGATCGGTATCCCTGAGCTCTACCGTATCGATAGACCGATTATTACGGAACAACCGTATGGCCCGTACGGTCATATCAATTGAATAGTCAGTTGGTTTATCCGGTGTAAATAGGCTACTGTTTCGCTGGTAAGCAAACGGTATACTCCATCGAAACAGTTGCCTAACCGGTACCGACTGGTCAACTATATGGGAAAATTGTTGATAATACAGGTCCCGGAGCTGACGGCTAAGGTTTTTCCCGTCTAATTGCCAATCATTTGTCAGCGACTCTAGTAGTCGACGGTAGTCCTGAAATAATAGTGACCACTGTTGTCGGCGGGTATCCCATCCSTGACTATCCCTATCACTGGCCATCGATTCCATGGATACTAACTGGGGATAGCATACCGTTAGGCCTGGTATGCGATTGTATTTGATTTGTTCGACTTTAATGGTRACAACTGTCTGGCCTTTCAGATATTCMCGACATAGTGTATAGGATTGGTAGCCAAAACCGCCGGTGCAAAACACTATGACTGCACACTTGATTAGGACAAGTAGTTTTTGTTTAACTGATGATTGTTGAATGTTATGCATACATGAGCCGATWAATTGTTGAAAACGTTTTRCATAATTATTATTATTATTATTATTATTTTCATATGAATTATTATTATTATTATTATTATTATCACTATTTTTTACTTCAATGTCTCGTTGTTGTTGGTGTTGTCGTCCCATTATTTTTATTATTATTATTATTATATAATTTTTTATAAATGTTTTTATATATATATATATATATTGAATATATTATTTGTTAGTAAAGTATTTGTTAGTTTAGTTTTTTGCTAAAATATTTTTAGTTTTCTTACCCACTTTGTTGAAAAGTTTAGTTTTTTTATTATTATTATTACTATTAGTTAATTATTAGTATAATTATTATTATTATTAKTATTATAATATAAACTATTTATTTGATTATTAAGCGCATAATTAGTATATATACTGTATATACAGTATATATGTACAAACACAGCAAAAAACAATACAATAATAAAATAAATAAAAATTTTTAAAATAATAATAATATAATTTTTTCAAAAAAAAAAAAATTATTATTCATATACTGGTATATGTTTTAAAATTTTTTTTTTACAAAATAAATGCTTAATTTAATTTAAACAAACACATACACACACACACACTTGTTGTTATAAAAATAGCACAMWTTTTTAAATTATATAATAAAATACAGTAAATACAGTGTAATTACATACAATATATTTTGATACGATTATTACTGTATAATAATAATAGTTATTATTATTACTCATACAATATGTATGATTTAATTAAAATAATTTGAAATTTATATGGCTATTAAATATTATTGAATTATTATTAGTAGTATTAGTAGTATTAATATTATTGTTAATGTATTGATAATGTATATAAAATTATTATTATTATTATTATTATTATTGATTACTACCATAAYATAACTTTTAATAGCATATATATATAAATGATTATTATTTAGTAAATATGTTTACAGGTGTATAATATATATATATATATATTTACTGGAAATTTATTTATAATATTCAATTACAAATCACTATAACATATGGTATATATTTAATATATATTATAAATATATAWATWTATTAAATATATATATATATATAAACCGTTAAATCACATAAATAATTATTAATTTAATGTTAATCATACTGTAATAATAATAATAATGATGATTATAGTTATAAAAAAAATTTTGATAACATAATTAAATAATAATAATAATAATTGACAATTATTTCACAACAAATAATTTATATAAAAATTATTATTATTATATATTTTGGGAGTAAATATTAAAAATATTTTTTTACAATATTTTCACACAATATTTAGTGACTTGAAGTATACTTGACTACTAATAACTAAAATTTTTAAAAAATAATTTTTATATATTTTATATACTGTTATATATTATATTCAATTATTTCACTTATAATTTCACCAATAAATACAATACAATATATATATATATATAATAATTATTTTTTARGTGAAATTATTTTAAATACAATGTTTCATAAAATTACTTATATTATTATTATTATTATATGTGTTTTTTTTGAACAATAATGTCTATATATTTATTGGAAAACTGCCTAAAAAATTGCTAATATTTCACAAATAATATACAGTATATTATATATTCAATGTAAATGTCGATATTAGACAATAATAATAATAATAATAATAATTTCAGATATAATTAACAGGATATCATAATTGGCATAATATATAACAATATCTAAACAATATATATATATATATAATAACATTAAACTTATTAATGCTTTAATAATTATATAGTACTGTATATATTAGACATACTATATATACTATATATATATATATATATTTAGTATTATGTTTACTAAAAAAAATAAATAAATTTATTAAATAATGACATTTGATTTAATAAAAAAAAATTTAAATACAATATAAAATATTGTATAAAATTTTATTTTCAAAAAAATTATGTTTTTTTAAAAAGTTTGCCAAGATAACTTTTTTATTATTATTATTGTTATACTAAAATTTATTTTTTAATCAACTATTTACTAACTATAATAATAATAATAATTATTATTATATGAATTTTATATATTAAATTAATTTTGTTATATAATATTCAAATATATCTTTTTTAATAATAAAATAATTATTGAAACTATAGTTGAAACACACATATATTTCTATAGATATATGATATACTGTATAAATAGTATTATCTTTTAAAAATAATATCCTATACTATATTGATTAACCTAATCAATGGTAGGACAGGCATGTATTGTGTGCACACTGTACTATATGAGCTTCGGTAGGTAGTTATATGACAATCGCTAAAATTATATGATGGATAAAAATATAAATAAAACATTTATATCAAAGCGCATACATTTATACAATATATATATATATATATAATTATATATATATTTATATAAATTTATATCAATAGTTAGTTTGCTTTAGCGCACAAACAGATAGAAATAATAGGATAGACCTATCGGTTMTGTGTGTTCRGTGTGTGTGTGTGTGTGTGWGTGTGTGTGTGTATGTATGTATGTGTGTGTGTGTGTGTGTATGTGTGTGTGTGTATGTATGTGTGTGTGTATGTGTGTGTGTATGTATGTGTGTGTGTRTGTGTGTGTGTGTATGTATGTGTGTGTATGTGTGTGTATGTACTGTATGTGTGTGTATGTATGTGTGGGTGGGTGAGTGTGTTGATTAGCACCGGCACATAAATCACACACACACACACACACACACAATCTTTATGTTGATCTTAGTCCACATCATCCAACACTACTGAGCACCTGTAGCTCACGATCAACAACATTGTAAAAACATTTAGTTTATTTTGTTGTTGTTGTTGGACAACACCATAGACAAAATCAAGCGCACGGGTGTCCCAAGTTGTCCATTTTGGCGGCAGCAGCACCGTTAGCACCTGGATACTTATAAACTATATATCCTAATCAATCAATCAATCAGCTACCTTGGTCATCATCATCATCATCAATAATCTATGGTCCTAATCTATATTTATTTATTTTCAATAATGCTAAATATATTAATTATCATGCTACTAGTTATATTGGGCACAGTTATCTCAGTGTGTGTCCTAATGTGTCTATTTGTGTGCGTACTGTGTGTCTGTATTAGTCCATATGTTACATAAAAAAATCAATTATAATTTTTTTAAACAAAAAAAAATTATAGGTATGGCCTGTCTATGTTAAACTATACAGTATAGTACAGTATATATATATATATATATATTATTTAATTATAATATAAAAACAAATAACTAAACAAAAAATATTTTATTACAATAAATATATTTATTATATTAAAAATACTTATAATTTACTAAATTATATGATTATATAATTATTAATATTAAAAAAAATTAAATCTAAAAAACTAATAATATGTTAATATCTAAAAAAAATAATTTTTTAAAAACATTTTAGTTGATAAAAAAAATTGATAATAAATTCAGATAATTTATACAGATATAAAAAAAATTATATTTCTATAAAAAATATATATATATTTATAATTAATACACTGTAAACACACATATATTTTAATAATATAAATTATATACTATGTAATTTATTATTTTTATCATTATAATTAATTATGTTTTATACTAATATTTTTTTATGTAATTTTTAATTTTTGAAWAATACTATATATATATATATATATATATATAATTGTTCAAGGTTTTATTATTATTATTATTAATTTTTTTGATAAGCTAAAAATATAAAAATCATTAATTAATTTATTATAAAAATTTACTGTAATATTAATATTATTAATATTTAAAAAATTAAGTTTTCTGATAATGATAATTTTGTACTAAATACTAAATATTAATATTATTAACATTATTAATATTATTATTATATATATAATGTAATTAATATAAACTAAGATTAAGATTTATTTGATAAAATTGATTTAATGTATTAACGTTTAAATTATATATATATTTAATATTAACAAATTTACTAATGTTGTACATTATTATTATTATTATATGTTAAAATAAATTAATGGGTTTTATTTGGCAAAAAAATAACTAAATTATTTTAATAATTATAAGAAAAATATCAAATATCAATGTTTTTCATTAAAATTGAATCATTTATTTTTATTATATAAAAAAATAATTATTATTATATTTTATTTAAAAAATAATAAACTATTTTTTTTAAATATGATACATTATTGTTATAAATATTTATAAATAATTAATATATATATATATAATAAAATAATTATGTTAAATTATAAAATCATTACATGTAAACTACAATTTTGTTTATTTTATATATATATATATATATATATAAATATTAAAATGTTTATTAAAATATTATTTATTATATTTAATAATTGCAATAAATCAGTTAAACTATAATTTTTAATAAAAATAAATCTTTAATAAATTATTTTTTTGTTGCTTTGTTTAAATACTGTATATATTTATTATTATTTTTTTTGTTATAAAGTACTTAAAATTTTTTTTACATATATTTGCGAAAATATAAAAATTTATATATATTTCATGTATTTCATGGAAATTGACCCAAATTTGTGATCAGGTTTTATGTTATGTTATGTGTGTGAAAAAAATTGTAATAATAATAATAATACTAATAAATGAATAAATATCTTAAAAATGTTTTAAAAAAAACATTTTTCTAAAGCATTTTTTAAAGTACTTTGAAATGATGTACACATTATAAGCGTTAATAATATACAGAGTTTATAGGATAATAAATGGCATATAAATGGCACACACCTAACACACATACATACATAGACACATATACATATACATACATAGACACATATACATACACACATATACATAGACATAGACATAGACATAGACATAGACATATATACATACACATACATATATATATGCACACACATAGACACAAACACATATAGACACACACATACATACACACACATACACACACACAGACAGACACACACACACACACACACACACACACACACACACACACACACACTTATATACACACACACTTATATACACACACACTATTGGATATCTGGTTCACTCATTTACATTTGTATTGACACCCAATAATACAAGTTGTTGTCATATATTTTCATAAAAATTTTTCAACAAAAAAAAACACCAAATTTTTTTTTGTCACTCAGTACTCATGTCTTATAAGTTAATACTTACAGTTATAATACAGTTATAATAATAATAATAACAGTATTATAAGGTTTTCCTTGTCTTTTATCATAAAAATATCTAAATAAAAATTTATATTTTCATCAAAAAAAAAATAAAATAAAAATAAATTATTTTAAAAGTCATTTGATTTTTATATATAAAACTTTGATATTTTTTGTTGATTAAATTTTGTTGAAAAATTATTTTCACTTTATATATTCAATATAATAATTGCAAAATAATTTTTTATAATAAGTGTGAATTCAAATATATATATATATATATATATATATATATATATAATTGTATTAAAAAAGTCAATTTTGTTAAATATATTTTTTGAAGAAAAAAATAAATATTTTTAAAAATAGCATTTTGTTGGCTTTTATTTTAACAAAAATATTATTTTAAAAGCAATATTTTTATTAATCAAATAATAATAATAATATATAATTAATTTATATATTTAAATATAGATTGAAATACTAAATAAAAAATTGAATTGAATTTAGTATTAGTTTTTTCGTTATTTAAATAATATGTTTAAAATATCGGTAATATTGTTATTATTATTGAATTTTTGGCAAATTTTTGGCCAAAATTCGGGCACCGCTGGTAACCCACGCGGTCAACATTGCCGTGGATTTAATGCCGAAGAAATACGTAAGTAATTTAAAACAAAAAACAAAACAAAAATTTTTATAAATTAATTAATTTTTTAAGAAAAATATATTTTATTATTAACACATTTATAATAATAATAATTGAATAAAACTAATGTAATATTAAAATTTAATTTAGAAATTAATTTAGCGTTAAAAAGTACATTATTAGTGTAATTGTAAAAAACAATAATTAATAATATAATTAGTGTTTAAATGTATTTTTTTAGGAAAATTTTATCATTAATTTAATTATGATTTTATTTTGGATTTTTTTTTTGGTAACATTAGTAATAAATTTTATTATTATTTTTGTTAAATATAAAATTTATTTTAACATTTAATGCTAAGTAATAATTAAATCTATAAAAACTAATAATTATATTATTATTTATAAAATAAAATTCACAAAAAAAGTTTTATAATAATTTTTTTTAAATAAATAATAATTATTATTATTTAGCATTAGCATTATTAATATTGTGTATACTTAATAATTAATTTTAATAACAATTTAAATTAAATGTATAATATATATATGTTAAATAATTTTCAACAGTTTCAAAAATATTATTTTTATAGTTTTATTATTTGGAAAAATTAATAAATAAATTATTAGTATATAGATAACAAAAATAACAAAAAAACATAAATAAATTGAATATATTATTTATATATTGTTGGGATAATTATTGGCCAATATTAAAAAATACAATTTTTATATATAAATATTATAAAAAAATATTAAGCAATTAATTATTAGTAATACAATATTGATTTTTATTAATATTTAATATAATATTTAATTATAATAATTAAATCTAAAAATAATTAAATAAATAATAATTAAATGTAGAATAATCTATAAATGTATAATAATTAAATCTATAGTTACTAAATCTCTATAATAATTTAATCTATAGTAATTAAATGTATAATAATTAAATGTAGAATTAAATAAATACATAAATAATTAAATCTATAAAAAAAACATTAAATCTATAGCTACTAAATCTAAATAATAATTAAATCTATAAAAATAATTAAATCTATAGTTACTAAATCTATAATTAATTAAATCTATAATAATTAAAACTAATAATTAAATGTAGAATAATTAAATCTATAATAATTAAATCTATAATAATTAAATCTATAATAATTAAATCTATAATAATTAAATCTATAATAATTAAATCTATAATAATTAAATCTATAATAATTAAATCAAAATTAATAAATTATATAATATTTTAAACTATACTATAGTATAATTATAATTACTTAAATTACATTAATAATAATAAATATAATAATAATAATTTTTAACTAATTTTAATACTAAAAATTAAAAAATTTTATTAACTAATATTAACTATTATAATAACTAAAAATTCATTCATACAATACATACATACATACCTATAGCATACCCGACGCCATACATATCGGCCTTAGATCGGGCCGATCGTTGCCAACAATTGTTTCCCAAATACAACTCAACCGGTACGGCCAACCCCGTGTTTATTGGCCAGAATACCTATCATAATCCATGTAAGATTGAATGTGGACTATGCGATAGTGAACAACCAGATAGTAAAGACAGTACCCAACGATCATATCCGGCACATATATCACAGAAAGATGATATTGTTAAATGTCCGGAAACATCGGGTGTCGAAATATATGAACAATTTATGGAGGATGGGCTCAAATGTGGACCATATCATGTATGACTGTCCTTTATATTAGTGGTTGACATCACTTATCAATAGTTTATTAATCAATAGTTTATTAATCAATAGTTTATTAATCAATAGTTTATTAATCAATAGTTTCTCTCTGTCTCTCTCTCTGTCTCTCTCTGTCTCTCTCTGTCTCTCTCTCTCTCTCTGTCTCTCTCTGTCTCTCTCTGTCTCTCTCTGTCTCTCTCTGTCTCTCTCTGTCTCTCTCTGTCTCTCTCTGTCTCTCTCTGTCTCTCTCTGTCTCTCTCTGTCTCTCTCTGTCTCTCTCTGTCTCTCTCTGTCTCTCTCTGTCTCTCTCTGTCTCTCTCTGTCTCTCTCTGTCTCTCTCTGTCTCTCTCTGTCTCTCTCTGTCTCTCTCTGTCTCTCTCTGTCTCTCTCTGTCTCTCTCTGTCTCTCTCTGTCTCTCTCTGTCTCTCTCTGTCTCTCTCTGTCTCTCTCTGTCTCTCTCTGTCTCTCTCTGTCTCTCTCTGTCTCTCTGTCTCTCTGTCTCTCTGTCTCTCTGTCTCTCTGTCTCTCTGTCTCTCTGTCTCTCTGTCTCTCTCTCTCTCTCTCTCTCTTGTCTCTCTGTCTCTCTCTGTCTCTCTGTCTCTCTGTCTCTCTGTCTCTCTGTCTCTCTGTCTCTCTATTCATATGTACTATTGATATGCAGAGTATATATATACATATAATGGACAGTTAGTTAGCTGTTTAAACATCAAACTTGTTATTACTATTTTTAAATATTTAGATCTACTAATAATTTATAGTATATAACTGTATAATAGTATTATGTCTATGACTTACCAATTAGATAATGACTGTATATATAACTAACTGTCCTTAAATTACATGTACTGTTTGGGGATACAACCTGTTGGACACCTACACACACACACACACACCCATAGGTATGCGATAACCTATGCTGTGTCGCCCATCCGGATCTCTATCCGAAAGCAGCCAAACGCCGATCGACAACCACACCAACACCGCAGGACATACCCCAAGAGTGGACCCAACAGCTTGACTGTCCAGAGGAAGGCTATTTTCGCAATCCAAACGATTGTCATAAATTCTACCGGTGCCATACTGGTGCCAAAGGTAAACTTCAACGTACCCTGTATAATTGTAACCCCACGGATGCCATATTTGATGAACAACTCCGTGTTTGTGTAACACCTGAGGAAACTGATTCCTGTGAGGATATCTATGGTGGCGTCAATTAGGACAGGTCTATTAGGACTACTGGGCCTACCTGTGCTGCGGGCATAAACTGTTTTTGTTTGATTGTTTTTTTTTTGTTGTTGAGATAATTAATACAATAATTAAAATTAATAATTATTATTGAATATAAGTAACCATATATATGATTGATATATATATATATATAGAGTATATTTTTAAAATAAAATAAATAAAAAAAAAATTTTTTTATTGATAATAATAATAATTATTATACTCTAATATTATAATACATTATATAATAATTCTGATAATAACTATAATATTAACAGGAAATAATAATAACAGGAAATAAATATATCTATATATATATACGAAATATATTTATAATTAATGATATAATCAATAAATAAAATATAAAATAAATTAATAATTATTTTAAATATTATATTTATTTATTAATTAATATCTATTAAAAAATAATAATACAGTAATAATAATAATAACTACAAAAAAAATAATTAATTAATTAAATATAATAATCACATATATATTGTTTTATAAAAAAAAATTTAACTATAATTTTTATCTATCTATCTATATATTAAACATTTATTATAAAAAAATACTACAAATATAATAATAATAATAATATCTACTATAAAAAAAACACTATATGTAGACAAAAACAACAAAAATCGATGGACAGGTAGGTATCTATCATATCAGTGTCCATATTACCACTCCATCTCCCGTTCCCATAGTGTTTCCAATTCCGTACCAAACCACGTGAGTTCAGCCTTACGATCAATTGTATCACTTTGGGCACGTGTTAGCCTATCGCGCCACGTGCCCACTACACCCTTGCGCACATGTATGTCATCGCCGTGAAACTGTTTCATCTCCTTGACCGCCGACATGCGGACAATACGATCGATTAGTAGCTCATCCCTGTCCCCATCCGGACACTGTTTATCCAATCGGCTCAGGTAGTCATCGCCTAAATACTGGGCTATACGTCGGATATTATCCCGCGGGTTGCGTACCATATCCTCATAGATAAGTACCGTATGGTTGGGATCGGTACGCTGGCGCCAGTAGTACAGTGCCGATTGGAAATAGTCGACTACCGAAAAGGTTGTCCACAACCAAAAGTATAGCCTAAACAGCCCGAGTGGCTCAAGTAGTCGGAAAACACGGGGATATAGGCCAGCAATATGTGAGTACAATGATAGACATACATCCTTCGGATTGCGCAATACTGTCAAATATTTTGTCCGTCGGCGGTGAAACGGTAGCCGATCCGATCGTATATGTGTTTTGATAACTATAACATCCCGACCGTGGGGGTCATCACGTCTAACTGTGTCCAGTAGTTTCGGGCCAACCATATCGATGTAATAGTTATCAAACGATTGTCGGGCACCCCTGTCCAATTGGCCATGTCTGACTATTAGCCAGATAATATGCTGTATCCATGATACACCACATTTCGGGTAGGTGCTCAACACCCGGTCCCTATCACCGATCGGGTATTGTTGGATGAATTTCCGATTTTCAGCATTTAGTACAAAATATGCACGATTTGTTTTATCCAGGTCAACTTGCATTTTTTAATTAATTAATTAATTAATTAATAAAAATTTGTATTTATTTTTTTAATGAAAAAATAAAGCAAAAAAAAAACAATAATATTTTTTTTTCAATAAAAAAAATTACACTTAAAATTAAACTAATTTATAATAACACAAAATATATTATATAAATTGAAATATTTAATACAAAATATTTTTTTTAGTTTTATTTTTTTTAAAAATTAATATTACTGTAAATATATTACTTATGTATTTTTTTAAATAATAAAATAAAATATCATATATACATGTATATAATAAAATTTTTATGTAAAATTTATTTTTTAAATTATAAAAATGCTAAAATACATACCATATAATAATAATTTGTGTTAATATTATTGAATTTTAATGATTCAGCTAAATATCAAACATTTTTTGTTGTATTATTTAAAAAATACTAAATAATTAATAGTCATAATTATTATTAACTATTAATAATAATAATAATAATAATAATACTGTAAAATGTTTTATAATACTAAAACAACAAAATGTTTGTAAAAAGTAATTATTTATTTTATATTAAATAAAATTTCTCGCATTTATTATTATTATTATTACTAATACTTAAAAAAAAAATTGTAAAGTTTTCAACCGACACCTAACTCCCTGAGCGCTGTATAGACTCTAATATGTACTAAATTTTCCGTAATATAATCGGAATAGTCATCTAATATTTGTTGCAATAATTTTCTAATATATTGTTTATTATTATTATCATTTAAATTATTATTATTATTATTATTATTTATTAATAATAATTTCATATCAATCAGTGCCAACTCTAACAGTGATTGCGGTAGTAATCCTTGTTTAGGTTTTTCAATACGATTTTTACTAATTAATAAAAACATAAAAATTAATTATTATTTAGAAAAAAATTAATAAAAATTAATAATCAAAAATTAATTACTAATTTATAATTGCTTTCAAATATTGTTGGGCATCGACTAGACATCCCATTTGTTTATAGATGATTGCCTTATAAAATAATGCCATCAAATAGTAATCGCCACCACTATTGCCTATTACTTATAAAAATAATTAATTAATTAATTAATTAATAATAATAATAATAATATAATTTTTAAAATATTTATATATATATTGTTTATATAGATATCTAATACAGTATTTTAATTGTTAATGATTTTTAGTGGAAATGATTTCATATAATATGTATTTTTTTTTAAGATTAAAATAACATTTAATTTTTTTAGAAATATCTAATAGTTTTTTTTATACTCAGATACAGTACTGTATATATAATCTGTAACTTTGTTTTCAATATATTCAATATGTTGTCTATAATAATGTGATTACTTAACACATATTTTTTAAATAAAAGGGTTTTTTTAATTTAGTTTTATTTTTTATCCTTTCAATAATAATAATAATAATAAATATCAGACAAATAAAATTAAATAATTATTAAAAATTATTACTAATATAAATATATAACTAATATAAATCTATAGGTAATATAAATCTATAGTTACTATAAATCAATAACTAATATAAAACTATAACTAATATAAATCTAATAAAAGAGTTTTATTAATAATAATAATTATTTTTTATGTTGAAAATAAAACAAAATAAAAATAATTAATTAAAATAACTACCAAACAGATGGCTATGTCTAACAATTTCATTATCAACTTTTGACATCCATTTGTCTAATAATAATTTGTGTCCGCATAACATGTTTATATAGTTTAGTTGATATAAAATTTCCTATTAATTAATTATATATATAAAAAAATTAAAATTTAAAAAACAAACAAATAGTAACAACAGTAGGGACAGGCATACCAGCACCGGTAGCAACAGGTATTGGTTGGATTGAAAATATTGTTCAGACAAGATAATCACTGATTTTTCAAAAGTCATCAGTTTTTTTGTACCCAAATAACGGAACGGTTGTAAGGGAACAGTACTTTATTTTTAAAAATTAATTAATTAATTATATAGTAATAAATAGTATGATTATAGACACACACATATATAGGCACACACACATAGACACACACACATAGACACACACACACATAGACACACACACACACACACACATAGGCATACACACATAGACACACACACATAGACACACACACACATAGACACACACACACACACATAGACACACATACACATAGACACACACACATAGACACACATACACATAGACACACACACATAGACACAAACACACACACACACATAGACACACACACACATAGACACACACACACATAGACACACACACACATAGACACACACACACACACACACATAGGCATACACACATAGACACACACACATAGACACACACACACATAGACACACACACACACACATAGACACACATACACATAGACACACACACATAGACACACATACACATAGACACACACACATAGACACAAACACACACACACACATAGACACACACACATAGACACACATACACACATACACTGACAAACTACCGGAACAATTGTGTGGCCTCTTGTTTGAGTCGGCTATCATTGTCATCGTAGGCCAGCGTATAGCGAAATACGGCCTCCAAATAGGCGGCAATGGCTGGCGAATAGTGGACAGTCGTGGTGGTGGTAGTGGTGGATGACTGGCGCAGTAACTGTGCATAACGTATACATAGATACCATTCACATTTGATGGCGTGGGCAAACATTAGCTCCCAGTAGGCAAACTTGTGATACATGAGCCCATTGGTAGGCCATTGAGAGTGGTTGTTAACAACAACTAACAACTCGTAGGCACCGATAGCTTTGTCTACCGATTCCCAGTATATGAGCTTTGTTTTAGCCAAACCATAGATAAAACTCTAGTATTTTTTATGTTGAATAAAAACAATATTTAAATAAAAAAATATAACTTTAAAAAAATTTGTAATACATTAGGAAATTGCAGTAATTTTTTATCTAAAAATTCAATCAAAAAATTATGGATATGTTTATCGCCGCCAAAAAATCTATCCATAGATATGGCACCGGTATTATGTCGTCTACTATACAACCAATACCATAGTATGACAAACTCGGCCATCAATTGATAAATACCGCCAATACTTTTATCTGACACCAGTTTTTGAAGATCCCGGAGCGCTAGCTCGGGTAGCAAACCATACTTGGAGTCAATAAGTTTGAATGTTTTCAACAATTTTGTAGGCAATTGACTCGTGAATAGTTGCCGGACAGCCCTTTCCAATCGTAGGCCTGACTCATAGTGGCTCCGGGATCTCGGGCTTATCCATGCAAACGGTTTTCTTGTTTTATACAGTGATCGACATTGTCTATCATTGATTGGAAAATATATATCGAATATATATAAAAACTATTTATAAATAAATATTAAATTTAAAAACAATTATTTTTCTATAAAAAAAATATTATTTTTAATATATTTATTTAAATTTTTAATGTTATATATTTAAAAAACTAAAGTCAACTAAAATTAAAATAAAATTGAATTATTATTTATTATTATTATTATCAGTACTTTTATATGTAATTATTATCATAAACTGTAACTAAATAATTGTTAAATTTTATACATTTATATAATTATTTAGTGTTTTTTTATAAATTTGATTTAAAAATAGTTTATGATTTGATTTTTATTATTAATTTATTTAATTTATAAAAATAAATAATAATAATATATAAATTAATAAAATAAAATAAATAATATCATAGACTTACTGAAAAATTAATTAAATTATATATAATAACAAAAATATTTATAATTTTAATATAATTACCGAAACTGGTAAATTGATCTAGACACTTTGAATAATATACAGGTTAGACTAGTTAATTGATAACAATTAGTTAGCAACTCTAGTTGGGCATCCATGGCCATGACTGTAGCGTATATGAGCCGTGCATGTAGTTCCTCATCGGTTAGTCTATTAGGATAATAATTTCTGAAAAGTTTGTCCATTATATAACATTTAGATGATTTTGATGGTTGGCCATTGATTTTCACTGTACATAATCTTACTGTCCTCTCAATACTAGTTTGAGCACTGGTTAGGTCATCCTATATAACCAACAAATTAATTAATTAATTAATTTACTAAATTTTAATCATATGATAACCTTATCCATAGTTAGTATAGCTTTCAATATGGATAGGTATGTATGTAGTGAACTATGAAATATATCCAGACAACTGTCCCCCATATGATATGATCGGTGGTCTAACTGTGCGCTTATGTATGCAATTACAGTATCCAAATCATTATCGGCTAATACAGTATTAATAAGTGAACTAATTGTGTCCAATGTTGAGTCTATTGTTGTAAAACTATAAAATAAATAAATTAATTAATTAAAAGTATTTCATAAATAAATAATATTTTTCAAAAATACATAAAATTAAATAAATCTATTTTTTGTTAATTTAATAATATTATAATATAATATAATATATTGTATTTTAATATATATTATGCAATTATTTTGAATATTATTTATTTAATTAAAAAAAACTGTTAATAACTTACACTTCATTATTATTATTCATTTTTAAAATCTTATTATTTTTTGTGTTAAAATTATGTAATAATAATAATTAATACATTAAATAATTTTTTTAAAAATTGTTTTACGTTTATCAAATACATATATTATTAAAATAACTAAAATATACAATACTTAAAAAAATTAATTTAAATAATAAATTTTTATTAATATTTTAAACACATAAACCTATATATTTATATATTTAAACTTAATAAAATAAATTTAGTTATTTAAACAAAAATTGTTTTTATTATTATTATTATTATTATAAAAATAAAATTAATTTTACATTGAAATTATTATTTTTTATATTCAATTATTTCTATTTTAATAATTATAATTTTATTTTTTGTTTGTTTAACACATGTTTGAGTAAAGTATAGTAATTAAAATTATAATATAGTTTTTTTTGGTTATATTTTTAAAAATACTATTTCTATTAATCGTTTAGTATAATAATAATAATTATTATTATAAATGTTAATATTAATAATAAATAATAATAATAAAAAATACAGTACAATGTTATCAGGTTTTTATTATGAAAAAAAATTAATTTGATTTAATCAGATTATATAACTTGTTTTTTTTGTTAGCTTAAAGCTATTTAAAAATAAATTGTATATATAATAACTTAATAATAATAATAATAATATAATATAAATTTTTTATATAATACTTAATGTATTTATTTATTTATAAATATATTAACATGCTAATAATTAGTATTTAATTTTATATTTTATTTAATTTATCTATTTATAATTTTTAAATATAAAATTAATTTTTTTTAATTATTATTTCTAGGATATAGTTGAACTTTGAAAAATTATAAATATATATATATTAAAAAAATTATTTTTATCATATTAAATAAACAAACAAATAAAAAATTGTTTATAATTTAAATGATCTAATTATAGCATCAGTGAAAGTACAGTACATATGTTTATCAAAAAAAAAAATTATAAAAAATAATAAAAAAATAAAATAAGTACTAGTTTTCAATAATAATTAGACGATATATGACATCATATTTTTTGTTGAAAACTAATTAATAATTTTTATTAGGAAATATTTTAGACATAAACAAAAATTTTTTTTTTTAGAAATTATATATATATATATAATTAAGATAATTTTTGTATTTTGAATTCAATAAACTTATTAAAACAAATATATATATWTTTTTTATATTATATCATATTTAGGATGTAATTAAATTTTTGTAAAAATTATTTTAACTATGATAATCATTATGATATTAAATTTTTATTAGAAAAAAATATTATGTCTGGAAATTTTAGACATTTAGACATTAATTTGATGACACATTTGAATTATTATTATTATTAAATATTTTGAAATTTAATTTTAGATTTAAAAAAAAATATTTATATATATATATATCAGTCAATTTCAGTACATAGTTTAAACTTAATAAAAATTAATGTATAGTTACTAAATGCTATACTAAGTATTAATATATATATATATATATATATATATGATATATCTGATAGTCAAACTAAAGATTTAAATTAAATTTAAATTATATATTTTCTTATATATATTTAATTTAATAAATTAGTAAATATTTTAAAATTAATTATATAACTTTTTTTTTGTTTTTTTAACTATTAATTTAATTTTAACAAATCTATTAGTTTATGTTAAATATATATATATACTAAAACAATGGACAGTTGTCAATCCTATATTTTTTTCAATTTATTAAATATTTATTGTGTTGTTGTTGTTTAATATAATAAATGATTATTAGCTGACATACCGTTTCAATGTATTATATGATTGTAAAGTAATATACAGTAAACTACAGTACAATATACAATAATACCCCATGAATTAAATGTGTGATACAAACACGTGAAATATAATCTTAATATAATCAATATATATATAACTTTGTATATATATGCTATTATTAGCAATATATATTTTGTTTATTTAGTTTTAAAAAAAATAATTATAAATAACTTTAATAAAACTTGTAGAGTAAAAATTAAAATTCAAGTTTTATAATAATCTAAAAAATTAAGTTTATTTTGAAAAATAATAAATAGCTAGATCAAAAAATAAAATAAAATATTTATTGATATTAATTAAAAATTAATGACATTAGAATACAAATTATATTATTAATTATTTAATTAATTATTATTTAATAATATTTTACAAACAATTAACAAATAGTTTATTTACAAACAATTATTTATATAGTAATATATTATTTTTTTTATATATTATATAATCACTCAATACATACAATACAATTGCATATCAAATATAAGACCCACTTGGCTATACACCCCCCCCTCCAACTCCTATCACTAAAACAAATCAATATAATTATTAGACTAATATTCAATTTGTTAAATAAAATACTGCTATAATGTCTATACATTTAAAATATAAAAACACACATACAGTCAGTGCATAATATAAAAATATCAGTTAATTTTGATATTAAAAATAGTAAATATCTGATAATATATATATATATTATACTGTATTTAATATATATATATATATATATATATATATATATAATTATATATATACAGTACATATCCTGTGTACTGTGTATTCATCTATAACTTTATTATTGATTAGAGACATATACTGTATATATATATATATATATATATATATATATATTGTATATATCATTGATTGATAACATAAAAAATTTAATATCTCTCTAATATATTTGTAGAAACACAAAAAATATATACAATATATATATATATAAATATATATATTATTAATTGACATTTATGTAAAACATAATATTATATATACAGTATATATTCAATATATTAGTAAATTATAATAAAATAAATATAATAAAATTTTATTAGAAATGTTAATTATAAAAAAATTGAATTAAAAATTTTTATTTTCAATAAATTGTTTTCAATTAAAAAAAATAATAATATAAAATATACAAATAAATTTTCATTATCTAAATTAAATATAATAAACTTTATTAATAAATATTTGCAATCATAGAAAATGTTTAGAAAATTACAAATAATTAATTAATTGAAATTATTTGTAAAATTATTATTATTATTACTAATAAAATAGCAATCAATATATACTGTATTTATTTTAATATGTTGTAAACACATGTATCACACAATTAATATTTATTTATTAAAATACTAATAATAATAATAATAATAATAATAATAACTATCATTTTATTTGATTTTGACAATTTGATTTAAACATGATATACAGTTTAAGCTAATTATACGATCATTTTATTTTTATAAATTTAGGATTTATTTTATATATATACATGTATTTTGTAATTTAAATTTTATGATAATTTAGATTATACTTCAAAAAAATAAAATAAAATAAATCTATACATATATTTATATAGATTTATATATATATACTTAAATTATTTTATGTTAATACATAAATATTCAAGGTTAAATCTAGCATTGGGGCAATTTAACTAACAAACAAATAAACAATTTTTTTTAGTTGATTTTATACTGTAATATATATACTAAAATATATAATAAAATTTGTGTTTTAACTAAAAATTAATTAAAAAACACCATTTAGTTAGTGTATACTGTAGTAGTAGTTGTAGTGATAGACTACTAGTACTAATCAAATGCACGTTTTTAGTGGTGTTTCAACAAAAAAAAATAATTTGAAATTTAATATATTTTATATATATATATATATTTTATTTATATAAATATAATTTTTGATATCATAAGTATTGATATATTTTTTTTATAAAAATATTTTTTTATGTATATATAAAAATTTATGATTATATAGTTTTTTTTTGTTATCAACTAATATATATGTATATATATATTTGAAAAAAATGTTTTAATGATTATTATAATATTAATATATATTATTTTAATGTCAGTTAATTTGAGTTGACAACTAAATATGTGATAATTATCTATGAAAACAAAAAAATTTGAAACAAATTTTTAAAACCAACGAATAAAACTTTTTTTAAAAAAATAATTTTAACATTTTTTGTGATGTTTTTTATATAAAAAAAACTATTTTTTTCTGAACCAAAAAGTTTTTATATAAAAATTTTAATTTTAAATTTTTTGAAACCCAGTAAAACACAAAAACATTTCAAAGTTTATTGACTTAAATGTGATTATTATTATTATTATTATATATTAATTATTATTAATTAATTAATTAATTAGTGATGAGTGACTATAACACTACTACAAGTGCTGCTAATAATACTAATACTAATATGAGTTGCACACAGACACTAACGGTGCCCAACATTGAGGTAACACCATCATCATCAGCACCGGTATCATCATCATCAACAACAACAACAACGGTACGACACCGTATGAGACGTGTCAATAGTATAGCCGTGGCCAGTGCGCACCGGGATGAAAAATTACAACGGGAACAGCAACCGGACCGGCCGTATGTATACTATTATACGGTATATACTGTATATTTAGAGACAGAGAGACAGAGAGACAGAGAGACAGAGAGACAGAGAGACAGAGAGACAGAGAGACAGAGAGACAGAGAGACAGAGAGACAGAGAGACAGAGAGACAGAGAGACAGAGAGACAGAGAGACAGAGAGAGAGACAGAGAGACAGAGAGACAGAGAGACAGAGAGACAGAGAGACAGAGAGACAGAGAGACAGAGAGACAGAGAGACAGAGAGACAGAGAGACAGAGAGACAGAGAGACAGAAACTATTGTTAAGTCATGTTAGCCACTAATATAAAAAAAATTATGGACATATGGGGGTTGACACCTGTCCTAAAACTAACTTTCCCCTCCCCCTCTATACCTAAAGTTAATTATTATAGTTATACTATTAATAACAAAATAATTGTATCTATTTATGTTTGTTTTTTTTAAATTTTTTATAATAATTTTTTATAATAATTTTTTATTTTTATTAATTACTTTTTAAAAAATAAATAATCTACCTAGATTACACGAGTGCCGGGATTCATTATTTAGTTCATCAAGCAAATTTCAAAATTATCGCGGTTTTCTAAATTTGGCCCTGATCATGCTGGTATTTATTAATTATTATTATTATTAAAAATTTTACTTATATTTCAAATATATTAATAATATTAAAAATTAAATTAAACATTTAAATAAAAAAAAAATATTATTTTATTTTTAAAAATAATATTAGCTATACTATTAATATGATTTTTTTTTAAATAATTTATTTGTTTGTTTGTTATTATTAATTAATGTTTTAATGATTGTTTGCTTGTTTTTAAAAATTTAAAATATTAATGTATTTTAATAAATTCAAACTGTTTTGCAATTACTTATATTATATATATATATATATATATATATATATATATATATATATATATATAAATATATGTGTGTCATGTAATACCGGTTAGTTAATGCAAGGTTTTATGATATTATTATATATAAAAACATATTTCATCAGAGTAAATTATTTAGCATTAGCATTAATCAATAATATACATATATATTGATTTATAAATTATTTATTTATTTAGATTTTATTAATTTTTTAATATTATTGAAAATTAATTTTTATTTTTTTATAGTTTATTCAATAACAAAAAATTATTAAAATTAATAAATAAATAGTTTTTATAAAGTGTTAATAACTATAATAATAATAATAATAAATTTAGTACTAATATTAATATTATTAATATTTATCAATAATATCAAATTATATTAATAACTAATTAATTATGTTTAATAGGTTTTTAAATAAAATTAATTAATTAATAAAATAAAATTATTATTAAAATTTATGTTTTTATGTTATTTCATAAATTTATTGTTTAATACAAAAAAATATTTAATATTGTTTATCAATTTCTAAAAATTTTATATAAAATTTATAGATATATATATATTATATAATGTTTGAACTTTATTTAGCCTTGACTTTGACAAAAATATAAAAATATATATAAATATATATTAAATAATATTATTTTTAACAAAATAAAACCTATTATATAATATGCTAGACAACAAATAAATACATTTTTATGGGAAAATATAATTTTTAGATTAAATTTATAAACTTTTTGGCTTTATTTCAATTATTTATATATTTATATAAATATATTTATAATATATATAATATATATATATATATATACTACATGTATATTATTAGTATATTATTTTGAGTGGAAAAATATCTATTGAAATAATAAAATAAAAATTATATTTATTTTATGTATCAATATATATATTAATTTTTTATATACCCCACCCCACCCCCAAATACATTTAATATTATACATAATTATATATATATATATAATCTAATACATAATTATATATGTTTTTAATTATATTAATTTTTTAAAAATAGGCATTATGTACAGGTCGGGTAGCACTTGAAAATATAATCAAATATGGCATACTTGTCGACCCCTATCAAATTGTACGACTATTTATTGGCAGCACCAGTATGTGGCCAACAGTTATCACATTATTAGCTGTCAATGTATTTATTTTGCTATCGTTTTCAATTGAAAAGAAACTGGCCAAGGTACATTACAATTTAATTATTATTATTAAAAACTATTAATACATTTTAATAAAAAAAATATTTATGTTTTAATAAAATATAAAGTAAATATATATATATATAAATAAATTACTATTTTTAGTAACATTTATAGAGTTTATTTTAAAAAAATAAAATAAATAAATTTTTGAACTGTTATATACAGTAAAATCCAATGATCATAGTCTATATATATATATATATATATAATATTTTTATTTATTTAATTTTTGTAAATTAAAAAATATAATAATAATTAATTAGTATTTTTTAAAAAATCATATGATTAACATATTTATAATTTTTTCGTAATATTATTATTTTGTTGTTGTTTTTTCAAGTAATTAACTAATTATATATATATATATTTAGTTAATAATTAGATAGATATAGTTTATACATTAAAAATATACATTTTTTGAAATTTTATTTTTGAACTATGTACATTGTACTTTTTAAATTTTATTTTTAATTTTTTTTTTATAAATATTATTTCCTATTAAACATGTGTCTAAATAAAATAAACATGGACAAATTACACAGTACTAAAGTTATAGGAAATTATTATTATTATTATATAATTAACAACTACAAAATAATGTACATTTAAATGTTTTATAAAAATTAATTTAATTATATTAAAAAAAAAATATTATCATAAATTATATAATTAATTAATTAATTAAAATTTTTTTATAGTACTGTATATAAGATAGAGTAATGATTATATATATAGTATACTATATACTATTACTTTATTATAATAAATATTATAAAATAGGGATAAAAAATAATTTTATTAATAAAAATTTATTTATTTTTTTTTTGAATGAGTAATGTATTTGATTAACATTACTTTAAAACACCAACGTAAAAAAAGTTAAAAATTCAAAAATCTATCATGATAACATTTAAATAGAGAACTAGGGGTAGAATCTATTAATTATATTTTAAAAATTATATTTTAAAATTATAAGTTTGCGGTTATTAAATATTTACAGTTTATAATAAATATAAAATATATTAATAATTACAGTATTTAATACCTTTAAATATTATATTAAATAAAAACAAAAATTAGATAAAATTCTAATTACATTATAAATAATAATAATAATAATAAAAAAATATTAATATTTAAAAAAAACTAATTTATAAAAACAAATTTATATTTATTTATTATATACAAAAAATTACACAAATATTAAAACTTTTAACAATAATTTTTTACAAAAAAAAATTAAATAAATTATATAATTATTTGATTAAAAATTATTTAACTAAAAAATTTAACAGTAACCATAAAAAATAATTAATTAATTAAATACATATTAAAAATATATTAAAAATATATATTATAAATATTTAATTATTTTTTTTAATATAAATAATTACTTTACAAATTTAATTTTATTAATTTTATTTATTTTAATTTTTTTTTTGGTTGATACCTACCAGTGCCAGCTAATTGAATCGGAAGCCCAGTACAAACAAATAGCTGTATGTTCATCGTTGATACTGTTCCCAGTGGTTATGGTATTTGCCATTGAAATGCATCCGATATCGGCATCCATTGCCTGTACGCTGTATTCAATTGTTTTCCTGAAACTGGTTTCGTATCATATGGTCAACTACTGGTGCCGTCAGTATCGCCAGAGTCGACACTATTCATCCAATCGATATCAATTGAGACGTAAAAGTTCCGATAATGTTAGCTATGATGAGCCCAACGAAATGTTGGATAAGCTTATTAGGACTAATATAGTGAACCAACTGTCCCCTAAACAGTCAGATAATAGTCAACACCAACAACAGTCAAACGGTAGTGTTAAACATAATAAGTCAAAACCTAGCGATACCAATAATAATCAACATCATCAACAACAACAACAAGCACTGGTAGTCTATCCGGCTAACCTAACCTACCGGGATCTATACTATTTTATGTTTGTACCCACACTGTGCTATGAATTAAACTTTCCCCGTAGCGAACGTATACGTAAGCACCTGCTAATCAAACGTCTAATTGAAATGGTAGGTGTTTTTTTAAAACAAAAATTAATTAGCATGCTTAAATTGCTTATGCTTAAAATTATCTACCTGTGCTGCTCTAGGTATTTTTAGTACAATTGAACATGGCACTCATACAACAATGGCTGGTACCTACTATTAATAATTCATTGAAACCATTGCAGGACATGGACTATCCCCGTATGTTGGAGCGGCTATTGAAACTGGCGGTTAGTTTAGTTATTATAATAGTTTTTAGATAGTAGTAGTAGTAGTAGTAGTAGTAGTAGTAGTAGTGATCAGTAGTAGTAGTGGTAGTAGTAGTAGTAGTAGTAGTAGTAGTAGTAGTAGTAGTGATCAGTTAGTTTATACACACATATTATTATACATTGGATATGTACAGTATATCACTATAAAAATCTGTATACAAATAAGTTTTCTAAACTTTTTATTATTATTATTATTTTTCTCTCACTCACTCACTCACTCACTCACTCACTCATACTTAACATATAATACAATATTATTTTTTACATTCTCTCTCTCTCTCTCTCTCTCTCTCTCTCTCTCTCTCTCTCTCTCTCTCTATCTCTCTCTCACTAATAACACAAACACACAAACAAACTGTAAACTACATTATAAAAAATCTATAAAAATCATATATAAACAATATATACACCCTATATACTGGTATATATCATATATATAAAAAAATCGAATATCATTAAAACAAAAACCAAAACTAATCATCTAATCTCCCGGTGCTACCCCCAAACATATACAGGTGCCCAACCATTTTATCTGGCTTATCTGGTTCTACTGGTACTTCCACTCTACCCTAAATTTTATGGCCGAACTGTTACGTTTTGGTGACAAACAATTTTACCGGGACTGGTGGAACTCGGAATCGGTTGAATATTTTTGGAAAAACTGGAACATACCGGTCCACTCGTGGGCAGTCCGGCACCTATACAAACCATTGTTACACCGTGGCTATAGTAGACTAAGGGCTGGTATCATAGTATTTATGGTATCGGCATTTTTTCATGAATACCTGGTATCGGTACCGTTGAAAATGTTTGGCTTCTGGGCATTTGGCGGTATGTTGTTTCAGATACCGTTTGCAATGGTTGTCCAACGTGTGGCATCGGGTTCGGTAGCCAATACCCTGGTATGGATATCGTTGATTATTGGCCAACCACTGTGCATACTAGCCTGTTATCATGATTACTATGTCATACATCATGCTATCTATTAAAGGGATTATTATGTAGGTGTTAGTGTGATGGAGGAGGAAATGGATGTATTGAAATGGACAGTTAGATAAATAGTGATTTATATATATATATATATATATTATTAACTTTATATAACTTATATACAATATATTATCAATCATTTTTTAAAAAAAAATAATATTTTAATTAATATAATAATAATTATTATTATTAACTTTATATAACTTATATACAATATATTATTAATATTTTAATTAATATAATAATATTAATTATTATTATTATTACTCGTTTTCATAATACTCAACAAACATTTATTTTTTAATTATTGTAATTATTATTATTACAATTATTTTTTTTCATTCAATTCAATTAATATTATTATTTAATTTTTTTTAAATTTCTTAATTATATATATATTAATGATTTATATATAAATATTATTTTCTGTAAAACTATTTTCAACAACAAATTATTAATTTTTTTTTATTAATTTACAATTTATGCAATTTTTTGTTTGTTTGAAACAATTATCAAATTTAATTAGTAATTGTTTTATATAATATTTAATTTAAAATTATAATAAAACAAAATAATTTACCAAAAAAAATATATTTATATAATTGTATCATTTAATTTATTATATATATTATAAAGATATTGATTTTAAAAAGTATATTATAATCTAAAAATTTGTTAATTTTTAAATAAATAGAAAATAAAATCTAATGAAAAAACTATAACTTTTATTATAAAATAAAAATAAATATTTTTTTATTAATAGTAATTAAACTACTTTTCAGATCAAATAATTAACTTAAAATTAAAAAATTAAATTAAATTAAAAGTTTTACTATTTGTAAAAAAATATTATCATTATTATTTTTATCTAAAAAAATCACCTGTTATAATATACATGATATTTATATATATTAATACAATACATAACCCGGATCAATTAATAATAATAATAATAACTGGTTTATTATTACAGGTATATTATTAAATATTTTTTTTTAAAGAAAAATATATTATCAATAATTTAATTTTAATTAAGTAATTATTTTATAATAATAATAAACTTATTATTTTATTTTGTTTATTAAGGACATACCTAACCCCTCCACCCCACCCCCCAAAAAAACAATATGATGTCCCATAATATCGATCACATTATCCGTGAGCATACCTACGGTGGCGGCGGCGGCGCCAATGGTGACAATGATCGGGCATTTATGACACTGAATTTGGACGACTTATTGGCCAAACATCGCCGATGGCTTGAATGTCTGCCCCGTGTCCGACCCTACTATGCAGTCAAGGCCAACAATTTGCGACTAATATTGCAAATATTGGCCGATCTTGGCCTAGGATTTGACTGTTCCAGTCAGGTATGTACGGGTGGGGTGGGGTATGGGTTATGTATAGCGGTTTAAACTGTACATTATATGATCCCAGGCCGAAGTTGAGGCCGTACTGTCCTTAAATGGTATCAATGGTGTTGGTGTTGGTGCTGATGGTGACCAACTGGCCAGCAATCGGCGCATCCTATTTGCTAATGCATGCAAATCACGGGCACAGTTACAGTACATACGTGACCAACAGATACCGATGATGACGTTTGACTCACCGGAGGAATTGGACAAAATTTCCAGATACTACCCGTCGGGATCTGAGCTACTCATACGTATTAAGACTGATAATCGGCACTCGACATCAAAATTGTCGCTTAAGTTTGGTGTCGACACCCGAACCGATGATGATGCTGGACATGGGCTACTCGTACGGGCCAAACAACTTGGTCTACGGGTTACGGGTGTAGCCTTTCATGTGGGCAGCGGTTGCCAACAATCCGAGCCGTTTGTTGAGGCCATACGCGAAGCCCGCCGGGTATGGGACTGTGCCCGCGAGGTTGGCCACCTGGGGATGCGTGTACTGGATATTGGCGGCGGTTTTATCGGTAGCCAATACTTGGCCAGTGTTCCGTTCGAGACGATTGCCGATGATATCAATCGAGCACTTGACGAGTACTTTCCCGCCGTCGCCGCCGCAGCAGCCGATAGTCCCGATGATACGGTAATCGACATAATTGCCGAACCGGGCCGTTATTATACAATGTCGGCAATGGAAATATGTACACAGATTACTGGCCGTCGGGTGATTGTCCACAACACCAACAACAACGATGATCAGTCATCACCGATAGCCGACACTAACAGTGGCCACCAATTGTTGCCGACGATAGCTAATAATAATAATACTAATAAATCGATTATGTATTACATTAACGATGGCCTATACGGTACGTTCAGTTTTGTTACTACTGGCCATCGATTAGTTGAACCGATACCTGTGTTGTCCGATGATGATGACATGACCGCAGCCAATCGGCAACGGCCACACTACCGATCGGTAATATGGGGACCGACATGCGATAGCTATGACTGTGTCCGCCCGGATGTATGGATGCCCGAAATGTTTGCTGGCGAGTGGCTCCGGTTCCGCGATATGGGTGCCTATTCGGTGTCGGCCATTACCCGATTCAACGGTATGCCCGCACCAATGATGCTGATAGTGGCCAATAATGATGGTCAGCAATCGGCGGCATTGAAACAGTTGGCCAATTGGCCGATAATTGAGAAACTAATTGCTGACTATCAATACAAAAGTGTTAGTGATTTGATATAAGTTTTTATATAAAACTTTTATTTGTTTTATAGAAATATAACATAAATTTAAATATAAATTATACAAAAATAAAACTTAAAATCTATATATATATGTATATATATATATATATTTATATATCATATATTGAGACTGATTGTTGTCGTTCAATAAATTATCTAGATAACTTAATAAATCAATTGATATATTGTTAATAATTAAATGTTTACAGTTTGCAAAAATAATTTTTTTATAAATAATTTTAAAATTACTTTTTATTTTTATTATATCAATACAAACAAACAAAAAACATATAGTTTTTTATTTATTAGATAATAAAAAAATAATATATATATATATTTATTACATAATAAAATTGTACTCTCTTTCTCTCTCTCTCTATAATGTTATAAAATAATAATCTTATTATTATATAATATATAATATTATTATTGAATAATACAATACAATACTACTAATAATCTTAATATCTTGTTTTTAAATACAAAAAAAAATTATTAATACAATACTAATTAATTAAAATTAATATATAAATTACACGTCAATACACTTGTTGTAATCATCAAATAAAATATAAATAATATATATATATAATTAATAATCATAATCATAAAAAAAATTCACATGATGATAACACATTACAAACAAAATTAATTAATTAATTGATTAAATCAATTATATATTGATATATATTTATTTATTTACACACAATCAATATTCATTTCTATATATAAAAAAAACTAATAATAATAATAATAATAATAGTAATTACATGGGAATTATAATTATATAGATAACTAAATGATTAATATATAAAAAACCTAATATATATATAATAAAAAAAACAATAAATAATAAGAGACAGTAATTAGTTAGTAGTAGACAGGGATTACACACATTTACAACAACAATAATAATGATAATAATTATCGCAATTATATATATATATATTGAAACTATCATAAAGTATAGGTAATAGATATGTATTATAGGTGTAGGGGTGGGTGGAATGGGGGGCTTGTCTAGTAGAACTCATATTTAACACATACATACATACAGTTGGGTGGGGGACAGGTATATATATATATATATAATATATCACTGATATATAAATACAATTATAGGTATATTAATATAATATATAGTATTAGTGCCCGGGCTCGGGGTTGGGTGGATGATGATTGGTTAATGGTGGGGTGGTGGTGATGGGGAACGGGATGTGTTACGGTGATTAAAGGTTACGTTTGTGATGATGATGACGATGACAATTTCGATACATAGGCCATTACCCTGATCCTATTGACATTGCCAATATAAAATAGCATAAATTTGCCGGGCTCCGGTTCCTCGATAGAGTAGCCAAAATTTTGGCCAATCAAGCACGACCAGATTTCCCGATATTTTTGTTCAATACGTCTACACATATGATCGGCAGCTTCATCGTAGTCCTGGCCATACTTGTCCAGGGATTCGGTAGCAAATTCAATGGCATCCGATTGCATATGTTCGGGCATTTCGACGATATCGAAGTTTGTCCGAAATTTACGTAGTTTTTCGTGTCGTTTAGGCCGGTGCTGGTGTTTAGGCCGTGGGTGCTGATGGTGGTGGTGGTCGGCACCGGTATGCTGATGATGATTGTTGTTGTTGTTGTTGCCGCTGATGACCAACGATTGACTATTGCTAACTAACCGATCCAGACTGTCATCCTCTACTACTACTACCTCCTGTCCTCCCATCCTATCATTGTTATCATCTAACGGTGCGCCTAATAAAACAATAATTTTAAAAAAAAAGTTTTAAAATTAAAAGTTTTTTAATGATAATAATAATAATAATAATAATATACTATTGTATTAATAGTATTAATACTATTGATTGATTGATTGATAACAACAAAATTATTAGTTTTAATTAAATAATTTTATTTTTAATTATATTTATCTATCATATCATATATTAATATATACTGTACTAATAAATACAGTATTAATATTTTAATCTATAATTTTGTTTTGTTTGATTATAAAGTTATAAATTATTTTTTTTTATTATGTTTTTTTAAATTGATAATTATATGCTTTGATAATCATATTATTTTTTATTATATTTTCAATAAAAATATGTATTTAAAACTATTAATACTATAAATTTTTCGTTATCCTATCAATTATAATAATCCATTAGTTATTAATCAAAATACATTAAACACATAATTTTGTAGTAATATATGTAATAAATATTAGATAAATTAGTAAAACTATGAAAACTATTTAAAAAAAATTTTAAAAGTTTAGTTACTAAGCTATTTATTTGTAATATTTTTTATTTAAAAAATATTAATAATATTAAATTAATTAAATAAAATTTTAATTATTTTTAATTAGTATATTACATACCATTTGTTGTAAATGATGTCAATAATAATGACAATAGTATTATCATTAATATTGATAATTGTCTTAATAATGTTTTATTATAATCCATGTTATTATTATTATTATTAGTTATAATTTTTTTTTATCAAAAATAATCAAAAATTATTTTTAAAATTAATATCCAATTTATTAAATTTAGATTCAAAAACACGATTGTGTTATTGTTGTTAATTAATTAATTAATTAATTATTAAATATTTTTCAAAATAATAATAATATTTTAAATAGTCACTAATCAAAAACATTTAATCAAAAAATCAAAAATAATAAACAATTTGCACAAAAAAAAATTGTTAAACAATTATCTTATTATTATTATTATTATTAAATATTCAAATATACAAACAATTAAAAATTTAATTATAGTTTGCAATTGATTATTATTTGATATTGTTATATATATTAATTATAAAAAAAATATTATAATTATAATAATATTATAAATTAAATCTATTGAATCAAAACAACTGTATGTATTGAATAGTTTTGTAGTGTCGACTAAACTAAACTAAATATATATATATATATATATATATATAAACACCATAACTACCAGTCCCAGACACCACTACCATCACCACACCATAATCATCATCAAATCAAGCACCAGTAGTAATACTAGTATTTAAAAGCACAGGTACTAATACCTGGCACTGGTATACGACGCGCCGGCATCTAATATAATGACAGATATACCTATAAGTGGAGACAATTGGTTTGGAGACTTCATTAATTAAATATCACATATATTTATATCTAGCTTTATATATATGTATATATATGTCTGTATAAATACAGGTATATATATATATATATATATATATATATATAAGCTTTATTAAGCACCGTCTGTGTGTATGTGTGTATTGATAAGCCCAGACACCAGACATCACTGCATATATATATATATATATATATACCTTATATTTGTTGACTTACTATATATGTATGTTTAGTAGTAGTAGTAGTAGTAATAGTATTTAGTTTTGTGTGTATCGGTATAATAATAATAATATTATTGGGAATGTAATGGTATTTTTGTCATAAAAATTGATTTTTGAATTTTTAAAGGAGGAAAAAATTATTTATAAGTGCTTTAATACAGTATATGTGTATTTACTTATGTTATGCATACACATACATACACATACATACACATACATACACATACATACACATACACATACACATACACATACACATACACATACACATACACATACACATACACATACACATACACACACATACACATATAGACATACATACATATACACACACATACACACATACACACATACATATACACATACATACACACACATACACATATAGACATACATACATATACACACACATACACATGTATATACACTTGTTTCTATTATTATTATTATTAAATAGTATTTTTGTAATTAATTGATAATACAAATATTTAAGCTCTTTTTTGTTGTTGTTGTTGATAAAAGTATTTATCAATATATATATATATATATATATGAAATTATATATAATATATATTGACAGGTATATTAAAATTACATATCAAAGTGAAACAGTTTCCCCAAAAAAAACTAATAATTATAATAAATATTTTGAATTTCATTTGAAAAATCAAAAAATAAAATAAAAAGGTTTTCACAAAAATATGCGATAATTTTTTTGTTTGTTTGTTGTTAATGTATTTCTCTCTCTCTCTCTCTCTCTCTCTCTCTCTCTCTCTTTCTCTCTTAAAAACATTTTATTATAGTCTATATAAATGGATTATATAGTATATACACTATATATACAAGTAAATTATAGGTAAACTATTAGTGCATTTTTTTGTGTTTGTTGGGTATAAAACCCTTATTTTTATTATTAGAAATTGCCATTTATAGAGTATATATATATATTATATATATATATATAATACTGGTATTTATTTTCCAAAGTTGCCAAATGATATTTATTAATCAATGATACTAACCAAATACACATACGCATACACACACACACACACACACACACACACACACATACACATACACACATACATATACATATACATACACATACACATACACATACACATACACATACACATACACATACACATACACATACATACACATACACATACACATACACATACATATACATACACATACATACATATACATACACATACACATACACATACACATACACATACACATACACATACACATACACATACATATACACATACATACACATACATACACATACACATACATACATACATACATACATACACACACACACACACACACATACATACACACACTTAGTTTTATTACTAAACAATACATATGCAAATAAAACTTTACAAAATTATAATACTGTATTTAAATGTTTGTTTTCATTTTTATGTGAATCCAATTAATAATTTTTAAAAGATTAACCTATTATTATTTGCATATAATATTAATATTATTAATATAAACAAATTTTCATGTTAAACATTAATGTAGTTTAGTTTTCATTATTATTAATATTTAATAATATTAAATATTAATATATAGTTTATCATTATTATAATTATTATTAAATGATAAACAAGTAAATGTTTAAAATAATTTAAACTTATTTTTGAATATTTAATTAATTTAAAGTAACAAAAATACGTAAATTAAAGTTTTGTTTGAAATATTTGTTGTTTTAAAATAGTTTTTTTTTTATTTAAATATAAAATATTTATTATATTATTTATAATTATAATTGTTTAATAATCATATATTTTTTGACTAATATATTCATGAAACTCTATAATAATAATATTAATAATTATAATGAAAACCATATATATAAAATAATTTATCACTTATTATAATTGTTACGATTTTATAAATTAATAATAAAATTTAAAAAAAAATAATTGATTTTTTTAGTTATATTTTATTTTACAAAAAAAATTTCCACACAAACATACAACTTAAATGACAATTAAATTATATAACAAACAAACAAATATATAAACAAATTGTCAAAAATTATATATTATTAATAATAATAATTTTTGGTTATATCAAAGTTATAATTTTGTATTATAATTGAAAACATAATAATTATACAAAAATTAAATTAATATATAGTATTATTATTATTACAGTTAAATATAAATTTTATAAATAATAATAATAATACTAAAAAAAAATTTACAATTACAAAAAAAATCACCAATGTCAAAATATTTATTTTTTGTTTAAAAAAATTTGGCATTTAGCACCTTTATATTTTATTTTGTTGTTGTAGATTATCTTGATGAATTTATTATCCATAATGGTTTCCATATACACAAAATAATAATAATAATAATAATAATAGCGATGTTAATAGACACAAAAAAAATTAAAAGTGAAATTACGATTAATTTGTGCAAATTTCTTGTGGAAAATTACAAAAATCTATTCAAAAAAATAAATAATAAATAATAATTAATATATTAAAATCAAAGCAAATATTTTTTTTCAATATTATTATTATTATTATTAACTAAATGCTAAATAATAAGTTTTATTATTAGTGCTTTTTAAATAAAAAAAATTGTTTATATATATATATATATATTTAAATGATTCATAACACTATTAATGTAATTATAGAAAAATAAATTATATATATATAATAGTAATCAAATAATAAAAATAATAATATATTAATAGTTATATTATTTAATATTAGTATATAATAGTAAAATATTAATATTGATTATACAAATATTTATGAATAAAAAAATATATCAGTAATAATACACTATAGCTATTAATTAATAATAATTAGTAATTAACTGATTTATTAATATCATCACTAAATATATTGACTAATAATTTTTAAAAAAAATTATATTTCTATTACTATAAATTAATATATACTCTATATATTAATATTAATATACAGTATTACTAATTAATAACTAATTTATACATTTGATACACATTTTTAAATATTTAACAAAAAAAAATAATATTACTATTACTAAATATTAATACTAATATACAGTATTACTACTTAATAACTAATTTATACATTTAGTACACATTTTTTAAAATTATTTAAAAAAATAATATTACTATTACTATATATTAATATACAGTATTACTATTATAAATACTAATATATTAAATATATTAACTATTTAATATATAACTATATTTTTTAATTAATTACTATTACTATTATTATTATTTAGTATATAAACTGTATATAATTAACACTTACTATAGCCGGCAAAACATGGACAGGCATCTACATAGATATCTGCCTTGACCTGGGCGTTTGAACATTTTTCGCCCTTAACTGATTTTGGTTGACATGACCGTAGTTTGGATGACCGTTCCAATAGACAACAGCCCGACTGGCAGTCCCTCGAATAGGTACACATCTCACCCAACTCCCGGTGTGTCTATCAAAACAAAAACAAACAAAAAATAAATTAATTTAATTTAAATACTTATATATATAATCAATAATTATTATTATATACATGTAGATAGCGTACTATGAAGTACCCTAACCTAACTTAACCCCTCCCTCCCATCCCATCCCAGCCCCCCTTTTAAACACGTACTATACTATACATTGTAATATACTGTATATACTAACTAATTATATACAGGTAATATTAATAATAATAATAACTAATTAAATCATAATAATAAATATAATAGTTAAATAACTTATTACAAAAAAAAATTAAATTAATAAATTAATTAAATACATATATATAATCAATAATTATTATATACATTGTAGATAGCGTACTATGAACCCTAACCTATCTTAACCCCCCCTCCCTCCCTCTCCCTCACTTCCATCCTTATAAACATACAGTATATTACATACATTTTAATATATAATACTATAATAATAAATAATTAAATAATCATAACTAATTAAACACAGGTAATCATAATAATAATAATGATTACTTAACAAATAATAATAATGAATAACTAATTAAATAATATGATAGTTAAAAATTACTTATTATTAAATATTAATAAATACCAGTACTAACTAAATAATAATTTGTAAATTATTCAAACAAAATTAGTTAATTTAAATTAAATAATTACAACAACAACAACAAAACTAATTAGATAACTACTGGTATAATAATTTTATAAAAATAAATGCAAAAAATTATTATAGTCTACTCTAATTATAATATTTTTTAATCAGACAACTGTCCCCATCCCTAAAGCCCATAAAAACTCGAACTATTTTTATTACTATACAACTAACTACTAATTGTCGGGGGAGGGGAGGGGGTAGGGGGTGTCTAACAACAACAACATCAAAACTAATTAGACAATACCTATAATACAGTATATCTAATATATCCACCAAAAAAAAAAATATTTTAGTCTACACTCTTAATTATTTAAATTTTTTTTTTATCAGACAACTGTCCCCAACTGACACCCACCTAAAAACTCGAACTATTTTTATTACTATACAACTAACTAACTAACTACTACTAATTGTCCGTCCAGGAGATAGGGAGGTAGGGGTGTCTAACAAACCCCCCCCACCAACAATACCGTACCCGTCTGGGCGGCTCATCGATGGGCTTCTGCCACATATCGTCGCCCCAGTCTTCCTCTTGTAGGCTAATCCAGCGGGCTTTGGCTTGTTTGACATCCTTATCCCTTAGTTTATAGTCTTTACGGTTTTCAATTTTACGTCCACTACGATGATGATGATTGTTATCGTTGTCATACTCGGCACTGGTAGCCAAAATCAGGTATGTATAACAACATACCAACACTATTGTTAGTAGTGTTATCGATGATCTCATTGTTAATTATTTAATAATTAATATAAAACTATACACCAAATAAAAATAAAGTTCAACTAATTTATTATTAAACTTTTAAAAACTAATTATTTAATTATTTAATATTTGTTTGTTTGTTTGTTTGTATGTATGTATGTATCCCTTCAAACACACACATAGACAGGTAATGTAATAATAATAATAATAATAATACTAATAATTGGCACAAATATGGTGCCCAATGAATACTACTATAGTATTATACTGTATATTATACACACCAAATAAATTATCAAATATTACAGGTATTTATTAAATATAATATTAACTTCAATGACTTCAATATAACATTTAAAGATTTTTAATACACACACACACACAATGGCATTCAATATATATATATTGAATATACTGTATAGTAATGCCGTCAATAAAACATTAAAATATTTTTACTGATAGTATCATACATACAATATATATGTATATAAAAGATATATCTGTATTGGAGTCGAGTATATAATATAATAAATACAAATTTTTTTACTTATAAAGTGAAAGCAGTTTTTTTTAAACATTTAACAAATTATTATTACATACATTCAATAGTCTATGTCTTCGCCCAATAATAATAATTGTAAACTCAATGATCACTAGAAATACCAGTTTTTTGGTTTATAGTTTATACTGTATATACAGTTCAAGCAAAGTGACTGTAAGTACTGTATGTATATATATAAAGTATATACAGGATCTTAGCTCAGACTGTTTTTTTGTTACTTTATAACTACGGGTGCAATGATGTCGGTGTGTATGTGTGTATGTGTATGTGTATGTGTATGTGTATGTGTATGTGTATGTGTATGTGTATGTGTATGTGTATGTGTATGTGTATGTGTATGTGTATGTGTATGTGTATGTGTATGTGTATGTGTATGTGTATGTGTATGTGTATGTGTATGTGTATGTGTATGTGTATGTGTATGTGTATGTGTATGTGTATGTGTATGTGTATGTGTATGTG